TGGATCTAGATACTTCAAGATATGCCCTTTCCAACTGAAAAAGTAGATATACCCTATCACTGGCCGACTTTGCGAAAATTCCCTCCAAATTCTCAGTTTTCAAGAATATTGCTAAATAAAGTCAACTTGCTCAAAAGTGGCGATCTTTATAACTAAGTCAATGAAACTTGCAGACATTTGTGATGGATTAGTAATTTGGCTATCTCCAATGAATTGATGTCTTTTTATTGGATGCGCATTTTGAGTGAAAACACTGTTTGTGTACCGTATATGGCAATTTCCAGATAAAAGCAGCATAAGTCCATGGGCCAAAAACGGAAAAGGCACACACTACCCCAGACACAATCTTAAATGAATTTTGTTCCCCTGTTAGTAAGGACCCTTACCTATTGGAATATGTTACAACGTTGGTGATAGATGTGACTACCATGGCCGTTACCAGTTCGAATTTTTATAAATACCATATTTTTATAAATTTAAAAACAAATATTAATACAAATGTAAACATCTAAGTTTGTACAAATTTAGCTTTTAGTTTGATTGCAATCGAATCTGAGCCATTTGAGGACATGATAAGGTAGAATTAATATTATAATACTGAAAATCGTATCATAAAAAAATATATATTTGAAAAGTATTAATGTAACTGACTGATACGAAAAAAGAAATAGTCTAGTCTAATCTAATAGAAAATGTCTGTGTACAAGAATGTCTAAATGCTCAACTGATCTGAATCCAGATCCAGAATGGTGTTTTCAGTTTAATAGTCATGTCTGATAGAGCAGTTGATATGACACCCCATTATTACTTGGATTTGTTTTCAAATGTTGCTTTACCTTTGTCTCATGTTACAATCTTTAGGGAAAACCAATATTTGGTCAACAATCGTTTGCCATTTCTGCTCTGTAATACTACCATGGGATGGAGTAGCACCCCAGTCTTTTAGTACTCATAATTAGAGATCACTTCGCTTTTAGAGTTGATTATATTTCAAATTAAAGTGGAAACCACACAAAGCAGTTTAAAATACTCTTTTGAGAGTGAATTTCTATATTTTAAACGTGTTTTCTACTTAAAAAAAGTGATTCTCAATATGAAAACAAGATAACACAAGAAATATGATTTCCCGATTTTTCAATAACGGAGGTATTGTATTTTGGTTACCACAATTGAACAATAAACAATAAAACTTAGTATAATTACCTCAACGTGCACTTATTATTGTCCGTTCTTCTTATCAATTTTTTACGACAAGGAAGTAGATTTCATATTTTTTTAACCATCCCAATAAACAAAACACTAAAAAGTAACCTCTTTTGGGAGTGTATTTTAAGTGATTTTAAAGTATGGTGCCTTTTGAACTAAATTTAAACGTTATCGACACGTGCTTTCATTTAAACAAAAAAGGTACTTCTGTTCACGTTTTCATCTAACCTAAAAACCACCAATTTATCACGCGACTGGAGTAACGTGATTCCACTTACCTCTGTAAATCACGTGTTTATGACCAAATAACCACTTGACCAAGCAACGAGTTTTTTGTCCGTTAACCGATGGTGGTGATAAATAAGTAATTATTTGGTCTTGTAAGCACCTTAATCGATTGGTTTCACAGGTTATCCAAGGTTGATGGTAATAATCACGTTACTTACACCGGCTAATCGTCTTATTGTTCTGTCCGTGAATCTCTGGTTATATTAAATTAGTAATTCTGAGGTGGCTTACACACCTCTTTAAATGGTTTCAAAGTTACCATAACTTTCTTGGTTATGATCACGTAGCTAAAACTGATTACTAATCTAAGCTATGAATCCGTGATATTTAGGTGTGAAAAATTATTAGGTGTCTTAAAACACCTATTTAAATGGTATTCAAAGTTGCCAGCAGTTCCGCGGTGATGATCTCGTGACTCAAACGGATTATTAATCTAAGCTGGGCATAAGTGACTTTTAGGTGTGAAAAATTAGTAATTATTAGGTGTCTTAAAACACCTTTTTAAATGGTTTTCAAAGTTACCATAACTTTATTGGTGATGATCACGTAGCTAAAACTGATTACTAATCTAAGCTGTGAATTCGTGATATTTAGGTGTGAAAAATAAGTAATTATTAGGTGTCTTAAAACACCTATGTAAATGGTAGTCAAAGTTGCCATCAGTTCCGCGGTGATGATCTCGTGACTCAAACGGATTATTAATCTAAGCTGGGCATAAGTGACTTTTAGGTGTGAAAAATTAGTAATTATTAGGTGTCTTAAAACACCTTTTTAAATGGTTTTCAAAGTTACCATAACTTTATTGGTGATGATCACGTAGCTAAAACTGATTACTAATCTAAGCTGTGAATTCGTGATATTTAGGTGTGAAAAATTAGTAATAATTAGGTGTCTTAAAACACCTATGTAAATGGTAGTCAAAGTTGCCAGCAGTTCCGCGGTGATGATCTCGTGACTCAAACGGATTATTAATCTAAGCTGGGTATTCCGTGATTTCCAGGTGTGAAAAATGAGTTATTCTTGGGTGTCTTGATGGTTTCACAGTTACCATTTAAGTTCCGTGGTGATAATCCCGTGTCTGTTGGCATATTTCTATTTTCACCAGTTGATAACTGATTGTTGGAATCCTTTCATTGCACCAGTTGATAACCGGTCTGTGTGCATATTTCCAGTTGCACCAGTTGATGACTGCTGGCTGACTGTTGGCATGTTTCCAGTTGAACCAGCTGACACAAATTAATTTGCATATTAAATATGGGGTGCGTGCAGATCTATGTTTTTTAAACAGTTTATCTGAATTTACAGCATATTTCTTAATTACTGATGATTTAGTTATATGCAATTCATTTCGAAAATACTACAAATATAAATTACCAGTTATTAGGACATTTCGCTACTTCGTATAAATTACATTTGATTAAACATGAATAAGGAAAACATTAACTAGAACTAAAATAATTTCAATAAAATACAAGTATATGAAAAAATTTCGATTAATTAATTATGTAAGTCTACTTATTACCAATGCCTTTACATTGGAAATACAGACGTACCAGTATTGAAGTGTTGTTGCCGTTCAACTGGTTGGAAATTTTACCAAATGGTTCTAACGGCTCAGCTAGACCAGTTGAATTCTAACTGGCCTGGATCAACTGGATCATTTAGCCCATTTCAATTTCCAGGGTTACCAGTTGACATTAATTGGTTCATCAACTGGACCAGTTGCAACTAGATTTGTTCTTCTGAGATGTTTGTACCCCCCCCCCGCCCCCCCCCCCCCCCCACCCACCCTCTCTAATCCCAAACTGCTTCCGGCGCGCCTGGACGTAATTATGGAAGATCCAAAACACGATGTTCAGAAACGGGATGAGAACGTCATTATTTTGGTTCATTTATTGTGTAACATTTGCGTAATTATTGGGTTGAACAAGGATTACAGTAACATATTTCCTCTTCGACGTCAATTTAACGTGAATGAAGAACATAATTCATCTCAAGTCAGCCTTTTAATATTCACGTAAATTTCACGCAGATATTTTGACTAAGACTATCACTAACGCTTCACGTATTTCTGTGACGCGATTCTAAAACTTCTAAAGAATGTGATAATTTCGTTTTTTTTCATAACCAAACAAAAACGGAAGTATCAGGTTTACAAACCATGGTCTCCAAGGTAGGGATAATCACGTTATTATAATGGTGATATTCCAGTGACAATTGCGTGATTTAGTGTACTTGTTTTATAAGTGACCTAGTGCAAGAAACGTGTTAACACAATCACGTAAATGTCAAGGGTTTGAAGAACGTAAATCTGTTCAAGTCGATACCTTGATATTGACGTGATTTTCACGTGAATTTGTTTATTGGGTTTCCATCCAATTTTAAAAGTGTGTACCTCACCACTGACTGACTTTGCGAAATGTTAACATGTTCATTTTTTCTAGGTTTTTTGGTGATAAACTGATGGCAGCTTCCAGCTATCACTAGGAATGTGACAGAAGATTGAAAGATACAGCATGAAGTGAAAAATGAAAAACAGCCATAACAGATTGTGATCGATTCATGAACTTGTACAGTACCTCAAGAGCAAGGAAGGACCCCCCCCCCCCACAAAAAAAAGGGCTTCGCCAAAGCTCTGATCCACAGAGATAGTATGCAGTGGCTTAATGAGCAAAAACTTTTTGGAGGACAGAAGAAGAAAAAAAACGGAAAATCATGGCATTTCAGCAACATTTTTAAATCACCATGGTATCAATTTATGAATAAACTACGTTTGAATTTTCCCAAGCCCCCCCATCAGTACAGTGTTGATGATTTGCAGAGTGCACTAAGCAGTGCTGCAAAGAATGGACACCTTGACTTCATCCAAGAACTAATCGGTAAAGGAGCCGAGGTGAATAAAGTTGATAACGACGGTTTTACTGCATTACAAATAGCTGGATTTAATGGTCATCTTGATGTCACTAAATGTTTGATCAGCCGAGGAGCCGAGGTGAATAACGGCGGAAATGATAATATAAACCCGTTACGTATAGCTGCAGGGGCTGGTCATCTTGATGTAACCACATTTCTGATCAGTCAAGGAGCCGAGGTTAATAACGGCGGAACTGAGAGTTTGACCCCATTACACCTAGCTGCACGGAATGGTCATCTTGATGTGATCAAATATCTGATCAGTCAAGGAGCCGAAGTGAATAAAGATGAAATTAATGGTTTGAGCCTATTACATTCATCTGCTTATTGTGGTCATCTTGATGTCACCAAATATCTGATAAGCCAAGGAGCTAAAATGAATAAAGATGATAATGATGGTTCGACCCCTTTACACCTAGCTGCACAGAATGGTCATCTTGATGTCACTAACTACCTGATCAGTCGAGGAGCTGAAGTCAATGAGAGCAGCAATGATGGTAGGACCCCATTACAACTAGCTGCACAGAATGGTCATCTTGATGTCACCAAATATCTGATAAGCCAAGGAGCTAAAATGAATAAAGATGATAATGATGGTTCGACCCCTTTACACCAAGCTGCACTGGTAGGTCACCTTGATGTCACCAAATGTCTGATCAGTCAAGGAGCCGAGGTGAATAAAGTTGATAATATCGGTTTGACCCCGTTACGTGTAGCTGCACAGGAAGGTCATCTTGATGTCACCAAATATCTGATCAGTCAAGGAGCTGAAGTGGATAAAGATGATAATGAGGGTTTTACCCCATTACATCTTGCTGCATCTACTGGTTATCTTGATGTCACCAAATGTCTGATTAGTCAGGGAGCTGAAGTCAATGAGAGCAACAATGGTGGTAGGACCCCATTACAACTAGCTGCATCTAATGGTCATCTTGATGTCACCAAAGAACTAATCAGTCAATGTGCTGACTTTAAAAAGACCGATCGTGATGGTTGGACTGCATTACATTCAGCTGCTGCTAAAGGACATCTTGATGTTGTCACAGAAATAATCAGTCAAGGTGTTGATGTTGGTAAGGCTAGTGACAAAGGATGGTCAGCCTTATACCTTGCCGCAGCTGCTGGTCATGTTCGTGTTTCAAGTGCATTGCTTAGTCAGCAAGCTGAGCTTGCCAAAGCAAATATAATTCATTGGACGGAGTTTCATTCCGCTGCAGAGAGAGGCGATCTTGATGCCATGAAAGATCATGTCAGTCAAGGAGCCAAGCTGAATAAAGCTGGTTCTTTTGGTTGGACAGCCTTACACATTGCAGCAGGTAATGGCCATCTTAATATGACAAAATATTTGCTGAGTCAAGGAGCTGATGTGAATTCTAGCAATGACTTTGGTACGTGTGCCTTGCATAGTGCCGCAGAGAAAGGGAACTTGGATGTCGTGGAATATCTGATCAGCGAAGGGGCCGATATGAATAAGGGAAATGACCGTGGATTGACTGCCCTACATTTTGCATCATCGTCTGGCCATTTAAATATCGTCAAATCCCTAATCGGTCATGGAGTTGAGGCAGATATTCGCAACGCATATGGAACCACTGCTCTTCATTATGCTTTAGGTACTCGTCAGATCGGCATCACGAAGTATCTGCTTAGCCAAGGCTCTGAACTGATTAAGAGAAGCGTGCGGAACTCCGTCATCTTACAATTTGATGGACAGTATGGTCATTATGATGTTGTGCGATGTGTGCAGAGTTGTGTAGGTCACGCAGTTAGCAGATTCACTGATTCTGTCACTGTCTTTAGAGGTACTCCAGAAAGTGATCTTGGTAGAACCAAATATCAAGATGGCGATGAGGATAAGACAGTTAAAGGGGGAATGGTTATTGTGAAAATGACACGTATATTGTCTGATCTTGACAGTCATGAAGATCTTCTTCGAAGTCAAGGAGGCAGAACAGCTGGTAGCACATCATTACAATATGCTATACAAGGTGGCAATCTTGCAGCTGTTCGGTATCTGATCACTCAAGGAGCTGAAGTGAACGAAAGCAACAATGCTGGCTGGACTGCTCTTCATGTTGCTGCGCAAATGGGTCGTCTTTATATTGTAGATTATCTACTTGAACAGGGAGCTGAAGTAACCAAAGGAGACTTCGATGATATCTCGCCTTTGCATGTTGCTGCATTTGTTGGCCATTGTGATGTTACCGAGCATTTGCTTAGGCGAGGAGCAGAGGTCAACGGCGCCACCAAGGAGAAAGGTTCTACAGCCCTACATGTCGGAGTGCAGAATGGTCATCGTGATATCACAAAAGGCTTGCTCAACCACGGAGCCGATGTTGATGCGACCGACCATGACGGCTGGACTCCCTTGCACATTGCTGTTCAGAATGGTCACATCGATGTCATGAAGTGTCTTCTTCAGCAACTTGCAGATGTTAGCAAGGTTACCAAGAAGGGATCATCTGCATTGCATTTATCTGCTGCAAATGGACATACCGATGTCACAAGATATCTATTGGAGCACGGATCTGAAGTAAATCTAATTAAACCTGGGAAGACTGCATTGCAACTTGCTGCAGAACAAGACCAAGTACGCGGGACAAGTACAGATACGTGGTGTGCTGAAGGGCAGAAACACCCTTCTTCCCCAAATTGCCATGCAGATACTGAGGGATTAACAGAAGATGAGAAGGTATTTAATTTAGTATTCCTATAGATTTCATATGGAAAAAAATATCATACTGTTTATTAACATTCCAGTCAGTATAAAAAATCATACCAATTTTAATTTGAAAAGGGTTAGCCAGTCTTAAGCCTTAATAATCCTGTTAAAACTTCCTTGTGAAGGTATATAGATTGTCTGAATTATGAAAAAGGTTGAAATCATTACCGAGGACTTCTCAAAACCTCTCTTGTACCAGTACATATACATGGAAGTCAAACCTGTCTTTGTGGCCACCTCTCTATAAAAGCCACCTGTGTATCGTGGCCGTTAATTTTTCCTCCCTCGAGAAAGAAATGTGTGTTTGAGAACCTGTCTAGTAAGGCTACCTGTCTACAGTGACCACTCTTTCTGTTTCACATGGGTGACCTTAACAAACATGTTTGACTGTATAATATTTGCTTAAATGTTAACATCTGGATATATGTATGTCTATTTTGTGATTAAAGATATGGAAAACTAGAAAAGAAATTTCTTTATAAAAAGCTGTTTTGTTTGTACATTCTTAATTCTTGAGGCTGTTGTTTTACACAGGTTGTTTGGCAACATCCCGAGAAAGGCTGCACAGCAGTTCATTTAGCCACGCAAAATGGTTACACCTCCATCATCGAGACATTAGTTTCTCGTGGCGCCGATCTCAACATCCAGTCCATAGACGGACAGACCTGTCTTCACGAAGCCATCAGACTTTCAGGTCGGGAGGACAGCAAAGTTGAAGCAACACCAGCACTCCAAAAGGTAAGATGATGAACTAAAGAACACATTATCCCTGGGATTGTACGACACTTGCCCCAGCGAAAATTGCTGTGCAGTAATTTACTACACTAACCAAATTGCTTACTAAAATTACAATTGGAATCATACCATTCACACATGAGTTAGCATAGCCATTTAACAATGAATAAGTCTCTAAATCTACATTATAAAAAAAAAGGTCTTATTCTTGAAAAATGAAATAGGATTCATATAATTCTGACAACTAAAGAGGATTTGTAAGTCTGAAAATAAAATTGAGCTCATAATTGCAAAAATGACAACAATTCTGTATCACTTTTTGAAATTACAAACCCTTTGGAATAACGAACCTTATTCTATTTTGCGGATTAACAACCTTTGGAGTAATGATACCTATTTAACTTTTGGAATTATAAACATAAACGAACCATCAGAAAAACACAACAAATGCTCGGAATAATGATTTGTGGATAAATCTCCGGAAACACAAAGACCTCCCAAAGTTTAAACAATCGCTCCTATTGATAATTCTTTTAGATCTCAGAAGAGTTCTATCAGAATGAATTGTCTCCAAAGACGGCCCTGGTCTTCTATCTCTTGGACCATGGAGCAAAGCCGAACATCAAGGATAACCAAGGCAACCTACCAGTCCACTATGCCAAGGATGAAATCATTCGCCAGATGATATTCTCAAGGTAGGGAAGCATTTTTAACAATGGCACTTTATTAGAAACGGTGTCTAATCACTCGACTTTGAATGCCAAAGGTCTTGGGTTCTTTAGATCCTCTGCATGGCATGTATGTCCTTGGGCAAAGCATTTTTTAAATCTACATTGCTCCTCTCCACCCAGGTAGTAAATGTGTACCCGCTAGGATGTGAACGCCAATGCGATTTGATTAGCATGCGCACACCCAGAACAAAGATTTCGGTAATTGTCTTCAAGGTTATAAAGAGTAAAGCTGTTCATACAGAATTTTGCTTCCAACCAACTGAAATTGAATCTAACATTAAGAAAGTGGGATCTGTATTATTTATAAAGGCCTACATAATTCTTCAACTTATATTTTGGTTGCAATGAGTTATTCCGTTTATTTTTCGAAGTCGTAGGAAACGCCTCTTGGAAACGCCACCTAGAAATGCTATTACGTTTTCAATTAGAAAAGAAACAAAAAACTTGGAATTGGGATATTACATTAACCATAATTTATGGACATTTTCCCAGAATTTTGCAAGTAAGACGTCATCATAATTGTAAATATGGTGTAATATGTATTTTGGTGTAATTCATTTGTTTGGAAAAAATTGTACCGCATTACATTTTGGCTCTAAATTGTTATATAAATCGTGCCAAATCTTATCGAATGTGATATCATCTTGTAAGAAATGTACTGATCTTATTAGATCTCACACATGGTAAAATGCAGTTCTATTATAATCTCCAAAATATTTCAACAGTAATTATACATGGTGGCCATTTTTGTAATTGCCTGTCATTTTTTTCCAGCAGTATATATTCAAGGTACTCCAAATATAAATTGTGCAGGGAGGTGCCCTGAACACGTTGATATCCAACCACCTTTTACTTACATTCCATGTCTCAAAACGCGTCGAAGTGGGGGTTTGCTCCTTATTCTGTAAAGCGCTAAGAGAAATCGTCGACATGACAAGGGATGTATAGACCCTTATTATTATTATTATTATTATTATCATTATTATTATTATTTTTACTATTATTATTGATATCATTATTATCATCATCATCGTAGTCATCATCACCATTATTCGGCAAGCACAGGCATGCATCTGTGGTGCAGATGAGCAGACAGCAGCTGCCCTGTTATCCAACCCCCTGACGCCGGGGATGACTGATCTGTCAAGCCCAAAGGATGCACAAGTCAGCTGTCTTTAATAACCAGCTTCAAGAAATAACTTGACATATAATACTACTACCTCATACGAAAGAAGATCTTTATTCTTATCATTATTATTGTTATTATTATTATTATTATTATTATTTAATCAGGAAAGTAGCAGATACATGTAAGCAACAATTGAATTGAACTGAATTTGATTCATGGTAATGTATTTATCTACAACGGAGTCATGGGGTTTCCTCTAAGTCTAATTGATAGATAAATCGCTACGCGTTAGGGTTTACATGACCTTCAATGTACTTCAATGTACATTTAACAACTAAATTATTCATACCTTTACAAAGTTTTGTCATCATTGAAGTATGTGCAAATTTTATTTATGTTTCTTGAGATTATGGAATATTAAAGCTTACATCTAAAGTATTCAACACACGTCCTGATTCAACCAGTTCACGTTTCATTCTTGAGTTACGAAAAAGACACCAAATACATTACATTTACAAGGGGTATGAATAATCTAGTTGTCAACCGTGTGAGGTGTCTTTGTTTAATAATTGTATGGACTTTTTTGGTCTTTGTTTGTTTACAACAGAGTAACTACGGAGGCCGAGAGGAACAATTATGCCAACCTTCCAGAAAGTGCGCAAAGTGATAGAACAGACAGTGTCGAGCCAATAAACCAACCCTTAGGTGAGATACGTTTTATGCATCTAAGGCAAATGATTTTTTTTTTCTTTCTGCAAGAACACATAGGTATATTCATTTCCAATTTAAGAATTTGTTAATTCATTTTAATTAGTTTGATATATCTGAGTTCACAGGTACGAATATCCTGCCCGGTGTCAGATCAACGGTAAAAATATAAATATATATACAAAACAATTTTCTTTAATAGTAACCATCTATTGTCTTTAGAAACATCAAATCGCTCATTTACTTTGTCTGTCATTATATCCTAATGACTTTGTTATTTTCGCAAATACATAAAAACAAATGAAGTGAGTCTGGGAAATAAAAATACATGTTTATTTGTGTATGCACTGTTTCTGTAGCAGAAGATCCTAGCCTGTGACTTCAGAGCTTGTAAAATATATATTTACTGTACAGTATGCTGTTAAAAGATATATTTGCTTTGCTGTTATCAGATGGTAGATATGCAACTGGAACGTTTGGAGCCCTTGGAGGAACCCTGTCCACCAAATCTCATGGGTTTACTCTCCACATTCCACCTGGTGCCCTTGAGGAAGATGAGACAATCAGCCTTCAGGTACTGACCGAGATTCCGAATGACCTCACACTTAAAGAAGACGAGCTTCTAGTCAGTCATGGCTTCCAGTGTTACCCGTCCGGGCTACGCTTTAAGAAACCGGCAAAGCTGACAATACCTCATTGTGCTTTAGTAACTGCTCCTAACAAAGTACAGACCATACTGTATTCCTGGAATCAGTCAGGTAACTAAATCATGTTTAAAGCCTTTTCGCAACATGTTCGGGCTGTATGTAAAGAGAAAATCACATAATAGTTTGTGAACTGGCATATAATAAACTGGATTTAACCCCACATTGGCATAATGTCTAGAATCCGAATCCTAATCAAGCAAAATTGATATGGAATAACTTATAATATTTCTCGAATTCTAATATTTTCGTCATGTTTTTATCGGTAATGGGGGGGGGGCGGAGGGAGGCACTCGCCTCTGCCAATCGAGGTCATCTGTGGCATCATTGGCACTGCAGAGTTTACATCATTTAACGTGTTTAATGTGGGAGTGTATAACTCCCCATGCCCCGAACTATGGTTGTACATGTAACTGTGTAAAAATTGTCACAACTGTTAGTAACAAATATGACATAAGATCTGACAACTATGATCAATAACATATTATCAATACAGTTTCTAAATTTGGCGATGTCGGCTACGTCAATGCTTTGAAAATATTTACCAAAAATGTCTACAATATCCATCTCAGCTACTCTTGAGCTCATTACACTGGCTTCATTTGAAACAAAAAATAATTTTGTAATTACTCTTGTTTGTCTACAAAATACTCAATAATCAAGCTTCACAATAATTAGATACCTGTTTGAATTTATATACACCTACCAGGGCATTGAGGTCAGCCGGTGATGCTCTCCGTTTCACATCTTCAGTTACTCGCACATTAGCCGGTGATGGGATATTTACTGTATATGCTTCAAAATACCGGAATGATCTACCACTTAGAATTAGACAGTCTTCATCCATTATTATTGAGAAAGGCCTTGAAAAAACATATTTCGTGCAGTTTGTAGGTGTAAGATTTTTTTAAATTTATTATTACATGTATTTATGTAATTGTCATATACTGTAAGCGCTTTGGGCCTTATGGGAAAAGTGCGGTATAACTAATAATAATAATAAAATCGTAATCCAGTCGCCAAAATACGATGCATAATTATGTTAAAGGTATAGTTGAGTTTTGGTATGGATGGCGCTAAACAAAATAATTCTTTGTGAGATAATGAAAAACTGAGTGTCAAATGTGTAAGAGCATACAATCTAAATGACAAAATCATCTTTGTTTGATCAAATCGGTTCAGAGACGGCTTAAATATCAATAAATATAACCATTTCTAATATTTGTGGGGTCCCACACATATTGGATGATTTTTACCAACCGTAGAAAAAACGAGATAGCGCCTTATATGTTTTCTTCCAGCCAATGCCAATGTTGGCTTTTTGTTGGCTTTTTCGTGTTGGTTATAATACGCACGACCAGCCTGTCAGAGGATTGTTATTATTATTGTTGCTATTATTCAAAATTAACGGTAAAGGGCTAGATCGGATTTAATCTAAATTCGCACTTTTTGGGGTCTAACATTCCTTTCATAGCAATTTTAGTTCATAAAAGGGCACTAAAAATGTCATGGATAAGAATAAGAGCAATTACCATGCAGTTTGAAGCCATTTGCGGCTTTAAACAAGAACTCAACTGTCCCTTCAAGCCCAATGAGCTTGAAAAAAAGTCCTTGTATTTAAGTCGTTACCTGTCATTTTGTATTGAATTAATTTTTTTTCTTCAAAGGTACACCTAAACGGCTTCCAGATTCCTCCGACGTTATTTGTTCAGTACAGGAACGATGGCTAGAGGTCTCAGTCAGCCATTTCTCTGGAGGATTCTTTGCCTTCATTTGGGATTGGCTATTTCTGAGAGGCATAGTACTATCATGCATGTCGTTTCTTCCCAGACTATTGCCTGTCTCCAAAAAACCGATACTGGAGGTTCGATTTGTCAATAAGCCACATGGACAAAAATGGGTAAACAGACATTAACACCATTTTTGGGAGGGAGTGTATTTAAGCCTGATCACTGCAGAAAGGCTTTCATTATCCTGGCGACGATGGTGAGGATGTGATGCATTCCCATTTCAAAGTTATGTCACGAATTAACAGTTTTCAAGCCTGTCATATTAACAAAAATGGAGCACATTTATCACTTTAACTATAAGTATTTGTATGTTAAAACGAAACGTTAAACTACTTCGGCATCTTTTGGTTCTTTATATAACGATGTTATTTTTTTTTTGTCGCTATTTTAGTCTTGGTCGTAATAATTCATCGAGCATGGTCTAGTGAACATCTTGATATCTGAATTGCATTTTAGACTTTACCTTGTAACTTTTCCACTTCCATAATATCAATCAACCGAATTTAATATCCCGATGCCAAAAATACAATTTTAGACTTATCTATGACATCTCTACTGTTAATAGAAGGCCCAAGCCCTGTACTGTTCTGGCTGTTTCTCTCAATCGATGCCATTTTGGACGTCATCTTAGTTTCCCGATTTCCCTGACAGATAAAGCCCATTTTCACTAATCTAAATGAATTGATTGAACCTTGCAATCACATCTTATTCCTTAGGACGATTCCAGCGAGTACTTTAGTAAAATATACACCTAAATCCGAGAGACGGTGTGTAATACAAGTTTACATATGATTTCTATCTACAATGTCCAGGTAACTTTATCAGAACACTTTTTGTACACATGATTTTTCAGAGACATGTCCATGACATAGATGACCCCCGTTTCCAACCTGTGAAGGGCGATGACGATGATATTGAGTTTCTGCAGGGAACACTAAAAGTCGCTTGCCAGCTGGGTGAGAAGAGTCCCAAATCCGAGGAACAAGTAAGCGTACTTCAATTCTCGGAATTACTACACCTAGTTAAAATAAATTAAAACAAGGGCCTTGTGGAAACAAGAACTGTTCATGATAAAGGTAGAACAATCAATGCAGAGCCAACAGCAAAAAAGTTAAAACAAAGTGCCAAAGAACTCATCTGATGGTGTCATGGTGATACTGATGATAATGATAATAAATATTCATAGACCAATACGGTTCTAGGAATATATATATATAATTAGATTCGAAACGATGAAATTGATTGGACAAAATTCGAAAATACAGACAATTTTTCTTCATTGTTTTAATCAGTACTCTCAACATCTGCGTTTTGGCTCATATTTCATACAATCATATATGCAAATTAATTATATAATCGGGCAATTTCCTCAGGCTATTCAGTTCAGCGACAAGAGGTCGCAAACGAAAGAGACAAAGTACTTTGAGCTCGATCTGACCAAGGAGAGTGAAGGGACATTAGTGACACTTGAAGTGGTTCAAACCTCTACACAGATGATTAAGTTCACCACACGTTTCGAAGGTAACATATTTCATGCAGATGTAATATAATAGCTGTTCTAATCCCTGAGTATCAATATATCATAGCTTATAACAAAGGACCTATTGCGCCAAAATTACATCCTATTGGTAATTTTCACGGTACAACTTAACCTGTGGTGTATAAACGGAACACAGAAATGAAATGTTCTCTATATTGAAATAAGTAGTAGGTAAGGTTGAGCGACTTTACCCTCAAAACTTGATATCATGATGTACATGTAGACCTATATTTATTGATTTTTATTTTGTATTATCATGACTAAGTTTTAACTTAGCATAATAAAGGCCACCACTACTTTTTATATTTCATTGGACCATACGGTAAAGACGAAATTAATATATATACAAAATTAAGACGGATCACCTGTAGATGAACTAATCTATGGCCGAAAACTTTTTGGACCAAACGGTTGTTGGAGTAATCGGGGTTCAGACCATTTCATTGCAGACAAACTGGCAAGTGGACCGCATTGTGATTGACCAAGTGGTTATTGGACCAATTCGTACAAATTACTGATTCGTGGAATTGCTAATTAGAACCAAACGATTAGAGATCATAGGCATAATGTGTCTTGAGCACTCCACAGAGTGGATTTGAAGGTCTATTAGTTACATTTATTATTATAATTTTATAATCGTTATTATTTTTATAGCTATTAGCCCTATATTGGCTCTTTAGATTAAATAATGATTGACGAAACGTTGAATTGATCATGTGTATAGTGGACAAACTGGGTGTAAGATAGGTGATGGTGGTATTGGACCGATTGGCTTTTGATCAAATGTTAATTATATCTTACGTCATACGTGTAAAAGCATTAGTTCACGTAGATAACCCATAATAAAAATTTATTAAATTTTGAAACGAAGGCGCAGGAAGCTCAGGGCCAGGTATATGTAGAAAATATGGGGAGGCTGTATTAATTGTATCTTTATACAATAATCGGTATTCTTAGACCTCTTTCTATCTCATATTTTACTTTTGGATTCTTCTCAATCTATTATTTCTTGCTTGCTCACTACAATTATACACATGATACGCGCGGGCTTTACGCTAATGTCCAGCTTTTTTATGGTTACGTACCTACGGCGTATGCAATTGGCGTACATACGTGTACGCTTGCGTATGACAGGCGTAGGGTTTCGTACGCTTACGAAGGCCGGCGTAGGGTTGCGTACGCTTGGCGTAGTCGGTATGCAATACTATGCAACTCTACGCAATGCCCGGTGTGAAAGCCCCTAAAGCGAGTTAGAATCTCGCTACGGTGATTCTTAGAAATACCGATATTTCATTCTGATTTTGTCGCATTGTGATATGGTTGGTGTCATCATATTATTTTGATTTTTTGGATAGGGGAGGGGGTAAAAAGTATAAATCAATTAGTGTAGATGAAACACAATCACGTCATAAAATATCTCTCTCTCTTATATTGTTTTTATAATTGCAAGACTGTTTGAAATACATCGAATGTACATTATACAGTTGACGTAGCAGTAAGAAATCATAATCTAAATTGTAATTCCACCTGTCGAGAATTCTAAGAATCATGGTAGATACATCCTTGTATCTATCAGTCACTTATTTTCCCTGTATATGTGCGCGTTATCATTATAGCATAAGGGAACCAAACAGTCATCCAAACATTTATTTCAATATTAGTATGTGCTCTCATGACAGGGATCGAAGAAAGCTTGACAAAACAGGACACTCCTTCACCATCCACTGTTGGAATGTGAGTAGAACCTCAAAATAAGTTTCTGTGCGTGTGTATGCGTGGGGTTTTATACGTAAACATATATATTTATAAATGCATATATACGGGGAGTCAGAAAACAAATACAAGACTTGGCTTGGTAACATCCTAAAAAGTATTTTACCATTCTTAACATAATTTCCTAGGTAATAGTGTATTCGGTGAGTTTCACAAGGATTTACACTAAAACTACAAATTTTAGATGGGGGAGGGAGGGGGGCTGAATATCATTTAGCATGTGTTACAAAGAGAGTGCAGTTAATAGAACCAAAATTCTACATCTTCCAAAAGTACTCAGAATTTGGTGGATTAAGCTGGGAGCATTGAGAAATTTAGAAGAGGATTGGAAATACGACTAGAGCATTGCTTACAATTTTAATTGAGAACGGTTTAGTATCCTTTCTTTCAATTTCACATATTTTTAATGTAAATATGCATAACAGCTTCTAATTCCAGGTGTAGATTTATGTTGAGCCAAAATAAAATCTGTGCGCTTTGTTTAAGAACTTCCAAAACTACATATATATGAAGCTTTTTCCAATGAAGAGAAAATGTAAAAAAATATTTATGCTTATATTTCATGATTTAAAATAATAATAACCGTCTATGGATGTTAAGTTGTTTTTTTAATGCCCCTATATTTCCTTGGAAATTTTTTTTTTGTTGTGTTGCTGTTGAGAGGTCTTATCTTAAATTGTTAGTGTTTGTTTTGGCTACAAAACGCAGAAACCTAATATATTTATTTTATTTTATTTTATTTATTTATTTATATCAATTGCAAATAATTATGTACATAAGAGATGGGAGACACCAAACTGGCGATTGATTGAAGGACTTGCTATTGATCTGGATCAATCGTAACTCTTTGTAAGACGGGGCCCTGGGATAGACGGGACCCTGGGCCTCGTTTTATAAAGAGCTCCTTTTGATCCAATGCCCCTATATTTCCTTGGAAAAAATTATTTTGTTGTGTTGCTGTTGAGAGTTCTTATCTAAAATTGTTAGTGTTTGTTTTGGCTACAAAACGCAGAAACCTAATATACATGTGCATAATAAAAACACCGTCGCAATATTGCCCGCAAGAGAACAATGTTGGTCAAGTCTTCGAATAGGGGCAATACATCCTGATCTTCCTTTGAAAGCAATCCAATAGTATTGGCCGTAATGATATTTCATTCTCCCGAATCGTAAAAAAGGAGAGTATGACAAAATACACACCAGGGGGTGGGGGCGTTTCATGAAACAATTACTCGGTGTTTTTCACCGACTAATATCATGTTCACCGACAGTTTCGTCAGCGCTGACTACATTTCACCAATCACATGCCTGGAAAATAGTCGGTGACAAAAGAATTGTTGGTGAACATGGCATTAGTCGGTGAAAAACACCGACTAATTGTTTCATGAAACGCCTCCCAAGGCCCCGTCTTATAAAGAGTTGATATCAATCGCAATATATTTGCGATTTATATCAATTGCAAATAATTATGTACATAAGAGATAGGAGACTGCAAACTTGCGATTGATTGAAGGACTTGCGATTGATCTGGATCAATCGTAACTCTTTGTAAGACGGGGCCCTGGGATAGACGGGGCCCTGGGCCTCGTTTTATAAAGAGCTCCTTTTAATCCAAGCCAATCGTAAT